CCATAAGTGCAGTATTTTTTTTAAGTTCATTAAAAGACTTATGTACATAAACATAATGGAAACATTGTACGAAATGAAATAAATCAGCGGAGTGAGTTTAGGGACTTCATTTCATTAAATTGATTTATTTGAATTTTTATTTAACATTCAAGCAATGAGATGATTTTTTTAAATCCATAAATTGTACAATTATTTGATATATTTTGAATTAAATCTTTGATAAGTTTGTTCAAAAAAGTTAGGAACAAAATCCTGAAAGTAAGTAGATGCGTTTCGCAGCAGTATTCGAGTTTCCTAATTGACCCCAGGTGAGAAATCAGTACAGGTATGTTGACGGTGATCACACACACTGGCCGAGGTGTCAGTTAGGGGATAAGGGGGAGGGGGTGGTTGACCGCAGAGGAAGACAGTGTGGTAATTAGAGAGCTACACATAAGTGTCAGTTTTCTGGTAAGGAAAGGTCTTCAATTTATTTTGATTTTTGGCATCCCGATGGATTGTATTTTCAGTTTATTTCCACGCCGAAAAGGTAAGCTGTTAAAAACATCATATTTTTCCCTGTATATATTATTTTTATGTTATCTAATGCTAGATAAAATTAATGAAAAGCTTCTTTTTTTATAGTAACAGTCATGGTGTGATAAATTGGGTAGAATATTTTCATGCATTATATTTTATAATTTTGATTATTTTTTTTTATTAATTTAGACATATATCAAGGAATTTATAATAAGCTTTAAAAAAATAATTTAAAATTTGAATGTATACGGCCAAAATCGTTGTTAAAATCACCTGGATCAATGTCTTATGTTTTATTATACGTATTTCTAATATCAAGACATTTAATAATTGTGCATACGTGCAGATCAGAGGCGTAAACATATTTCTAACGTTATCAGACGATAAACAAGGAGAAACAGAATATTGCATGAAAAAAAAGATACATATCAATATCCTGCATGATATTATTTTTTATTTGTTTTTTGTACGCGAACATCGTACCTTACGAAAAATCTTTCTCCGGTAACTCTGATTCATTTAAGAAAATCATATTATTATTATTAAATTTTGACAAAATAAATCATACAATTCGATAAATTATTTTTATAAAAATAGAAAACGTGATTGCTCTACTTATAATTTCATTTCCGCAAAATAGAGTTACTGTTTAAATTTTGACAATCACTCTCTGCTTTACCATGATATAATTATTTTATTTATTTATTTAATTATCTATTAATAAATCAATTTATTAATTCAAGAAATACGCTATCCTTTTTTTCCTTCTACGCTTTAATATTTCTTATATTGATGAAAAAGAAAGGAATGAAACTTTATTTTCTCTTTTTCGGTTGAATTAATCTTATTTTTATTAGCAAAACGAAAAAGAAACTCGGAATAGCTCAGTAGTTTCTTTGTATAGTAAAGATAAAATGAGAGGGTTTCCGAATATACATGATAAACGCAAAACACGATACACGATAGAACCTGATAAACGATCTACACGATAAACGCAAAACACGATAAACGGAAAACACGATAGAAAACGCAAAACCTGATAAACGGAAAACACAATACGATAGGATACGATAGCATACACGCACGATACGATAGGACACACGAACGATACGATAGGATACACGCACGATAGAACACGATAGAATTGTAAAGAATAACGATGGGGGTACTGTACACAAAAACCTCTAAGATTTTTTGTTGTACAAATATCAGTTGTAGCATACTGGATTTGAAAATGTTTATTTTTCTCATTTTTAACTTTAATATGTAATAAAGGTAGGATGTAAAATACTACAATATTCTATTCTTTAAACATGCATTACCATATCCAATATGTACAGATAAATAATTTTGATGAAATTTTGGGAAGGGTTTATATTCCGAGGGAACGAATCATTAAAACTAAAAGAATGAATTATACAATATGAGATAACGGATAGTGTAATTTGAGGGAACGAATTGATAATCTGTGAGAATGAATTGGCAATTTGTTATAACAGATTGTCATTCCGAGAGAACGGATTGTATAAATCGAGAACTCGGTTTACTTTTATAAATTTTTAAAAATTCTATGTCCCTTCATGGCTTTCATACATGGCTGCCAGGTTTGTAAAAAGAAAGGAGACAATAGACTGCAATGTTACTTCAGGGCAAATTCCTGGGGCAAGGCTGTTCGTGAGCATGGGAGTGTTGATAAACCATCCAGAGAGTTTGACCACCCATGTATATGATCATGATGATGTACGATAATTGGAACGCGTCTGAAAAATTGAGAAAATGGAAATTTTAACCACATACTTTATGGAGGTTGGAAATACAACAGCAGTCTATAAAAACAGCTTGTTCTATATCTCGGCATTCATTCAAATAGATATTACGTGTTTAAATAATGTGTTTGTATGAATAATCAGACATCATAAGTATTATGTGTTTCAAACACTCATTTTTCAAAATATAAATCAAATGTTTATAAACTTGTATGAATGCAATATCATGAGAATGGCACAAATAAAATTTGAATTTATTTTTTGAAATTTTAGAAATATAGAAATTTTCAATTCCAAAACAAAAATTGACAATGTTTACCTGTCCATTGGTGTCCTTACATATTAATCGGCCTTCGTAGTTCATGGTGGGCTTAGCGAGTGGGTATTCAAAGATGAAAGTATTGTTGCATATGGTGCCAGTACCCTAAAAATTCAATGTGAAAGTGGTACATGTACACACTGGTACACTACTGAAAACGACTATCCATTATTATGGCAACTTTGATTTTACTTTGAACTTACGAGTGATTGTCAAAAGCAACAAAGTTCAAAAGCAACACAAAATTGGCTGAACAATACGAAATACGCACACTGAAATATGAAGATTTAATACATGTGTACATTTAGTTTTCTTTTGAACGTGAACTAATTGCGTTTTAAACTTAAACTATTCAGTCAATATACACGTATTCTCACCTGCTAATACCAAAGGCATGTCCGTATTATTTGATTCATTGATGTGATGATCTTCGTCGAAAATTGACGTTCAGATTCACCATCTTGTTGTTTACTGCTATCATAGCGGAAACACGTATCAACTCATACAGTGATGAGTCGTATTTATTTATAAATGCGAGTTTGTGTATTGTTAAAATTCGTGCCAATATAGATCTTATTAAATTGCAAATTAAGTATACAGTATAACAAAATACAACAATATTAAAATCTGATTTTTTTTAGTAAAGATTGACGTTTAGGGAATCTACAATTTTTATCAACATTGTATATCACTACATGAAATATACATCATTACATGTGGATGAATAGATTAACATTTTACTTCACACAAAAGGCAGAATGATAGTATATATTTCTTTTTTTGAAATCTATTTTTTTTTTTGGGGTTTTATGCATTTATTTCAATAAAAATATATTTAAAAAGAATTTGTTGTTTCGAGTAAGACGCAACAATATCGACCTTGACGTTACATGTGAATATTGAACGATTTTTCCATGAAAACTATGCGAAGGTCACAAATTTAAATTATCGTAATTAAGAAAATACTTAGCGTAAGCAGGCCTGTAAGGGCTTGTTGGAAAGGATATTTTCTCTACTTTTACCGGCTTTATTTTGTTTTCCCTATTTCAACACAAAAATAAACGTTAAACTGAGCTTTGTTTAAACATTCCGAATAAAATCGAGAAAAACGCATAAGTGCAAGAAAATTCTTATTTTTAAAATAATATTTAAAGTAACAATAATAATTTTCACATATTTCAAAAGCAGAATAAATATGCATTAAGAATATACCATACTTTCTTTATAAAGTATCAGAAAAAATGTCAATCGCCCGGAAAATCGGCAATTGCTTTGGAAAATTACGCCATTTTCAAAAAGTCACGTTTGTCTTCTCAAAGGTACTTGGACACAGATTTGAAGTTAATATTTTCTGTACAATATCACGAATTATATATTTTAATAGCATTTCACACAAAAATTAATAAAAAATCTTATTTCATTTAAAAGCTATTAAAACTTCAAATTTTTGGCGGGTTTGATTGACACATCCTGGCACTTTCACAAATTTTAACTTTATTCTTAATCCTTCAGAAACGGGGCAATCTTGTTGTGTATTAATGAGAAATATTAAAACTTTAATCCAGAAAAATAATTTTATTCAGAGTAGAAATGTTAGAAAGCAAAACACCTTTACAATGATCCTCATCCCGAGCTAAGTCGTGTGTGAAAATCGATCACACTCGTGTTATGTACACAGTTTTTGTAAACAGGGAACTCTGTTTTTGTTGATGTTTAGATTTCACCGGGTGCGTTCAATTGTCAAAGTCTGCTCACTACAACTGCACTGACTGGGAATATATTGTGTGCTTGTTTTGCTTTCGAACATGTCTCGTCTGAATTTTCTGGATTATAGTATTAATATTTTGCATTCATACACAACAAGATTGCCACTTTTCCTAAGGATATGTCAATCAAACCCGCCAAAAAATTGAAGTCTTAATAACTTTTAAATGAAATAAAATTTTTGATTAATTTTTGTGTGGAATGCTATTAAAATATATAATTCGTAATATTATAGAGAAAAAACTAACTTCAAATCTGTGTCCAAGTACATTTAACGTAAAATCGATTAAATACCGGCAATCAATACATAATCTTTTTAGATATTTTAAAAGAAGAGAAAATTTCCAAAAAGAAGATATATAGTTTATATACCTTCATGCTAGCGTAAAATAGATACGGAGATCTTATTTTCGCAAAGTCGTGTTTTAACGCGCCACCGGTCAATTTGACCGGTACGGAAGTGAAGGGGTTAAGAGGATGTGTTTACAACGAGTATGTGTGTTTGACATTATTTAATACGCTTAAATACTCCTTTCTACTCCAATGCAAAATTTAATGTTTTATGTGTCAGACTTTTTTTGCAATATCACTGTTCATTATCTCAGATAAGTGCATATAAAAAACATCAAGTATGTATTTAATAAATTTTATTGTGGCGATAATTGGGCACGGCTGTTTATCCAGAGACACAAATTATGAAAAGCTATTGGTGTCTCTGTTCAAAGTTCAAAGGTCAAAGTTCACAAACACCATATCAGAAAGTGGTAAAAGCCTTGACCCTGGGAGGTGCAGAGGTCAAGCACTTATTTATGTATATCTAAATCCAAAGTTTACTTTTCAACTTTCATGAGTTACATGACTGCATATAAGGATAGTTACTTAGTGCCGCTCGTTTACGCACATCTCAGCTGGAAAGAAACGGACAGCCGTACCAGATTCTATAAATTCACATTATTGCTTAATGTCTGCGGTAAGAGGAAAATTATTGGCTCCTGGAAATGATGCATGACTTGCACTTGGAATGAATCACTTCCATATAAATGGCTGTTCCTCACATCACTTTCACAATAAATTTCTTGAAAGTCCAGAATGCTGTGAGTCCCTAGAGATACTAGTGGTTCATTTCCCTTGGCAATGGCTGTTCCCTAAGGTCCTGGTTTCATCCCGTAAGTCCTGTCATGTTTAGCTTGATATTCACTGTGTCTTCGTCTGAAAGCATTAAAAAACCAGAAAAAGCAGTATCTATTCTAAATGGGTGAGGTGGGTGGGTGTTTCAAATTAATAATACACAATAACAAGCTGGAAAATTTTTACCGACCCAAGATGATGCTGGAATATTGAAAAAGGAAGTTGCAACCAAAGCGCCCTCAGTTGTTTTTATTAAAAGGGGAATAATCAACTAAAATATTTGACAAGAACGATGATCACTAGGAATAAGTACTGAGATTTAAGTAAAGCATTTAAATATGCACTTCCTTCGATAAAAGCAGCTAATTCAGAGTGAATTAGCTTTGAATATTATCTCAGATAAGTGCATATAAAAAAACATCAAGTATGTATTTAATAAATTTTATTGTGGCGATAATTGGGCACGGCTGTTTATCCAGAGACACAAATTATGAAAAGCTATTGGTGTCTCTGACAACACAACAAAGCAAATATTACATATTAAATATTCAAACTCAGGTTCAAAGTTCAAAGGTCAAAGTTCACAAACACTCCAAAGTTTACTTATCAACTTTCATGAGCTACATGACTGCATATAAGGATAGTTACTTAGTGCCGCTCGTTTACGCCACAAGTTCCCAACCACAAGTTATTGTGGTAGGGAACTCCGCCACCATATGGGTGGGGGTAGAGCGGCAGAAGTAGCCATGCCCAAGCCAATACCTACCATGATTGATGAAATTTATTCCCTGTAAAATTAAACCTAACCCCAATTATACATGGATTAGATGTAATGACCCTAATAAAATAGTATCTAAGATTTTGGTGATGAGTTGATCAAAGAAACATGTACGCATGTCTATCACTACACATGTAGAAACCAGGAATATATAAGCAAAATATATAAACGAGATACAGCTTAAATATTTAAAATCTATTTATATCTGTGTTAAAAGGAAACTGTACTAATCTTATTACTGGAAATATTATAACCTATTTATTGGAATACAGCTGTACATGTATATCAAACTAACCATATGAGAAAACTGGAGAAAACAAACGTTGTCGATCCAACTTGGATAAGTGTACATGTATAACCATACACGGAGAACATTTTATTGAACAAGTACCCTTTGAATTTCTTTGGGTATCGTAGGATCATGTGCTTGAGAGAAAGCATTCCCAAATGCCTGTTGAAATTTACCTCAAGCCCTATATATATTGATTGGTGCAATGGGACATTGTGTTGAAATTTAGAATAAGAACAAGGGCCTACCAAATGGTACAAAATGTTAAAATATGACCTACAAATGGGTTAAATTTACTAACACGGTCAGTATAACAGTGATAGAATTAACAAAATCTAAACTTCAAAGAAGGTTTATCTGTGTTTAACAAACTAAGTTACAATTCTGGTTAAAGCTATACTGATTAGCAAACATGGCACAATACGATTGATTTAGAAATAATGTTTTAATACACCATATAATGCTAGCTAGCCTAGGACACCCTACCACTAATATTAAGAGTTAGGAAATATGCCACACTTCCAGCAAGAAAGTAAATAATGTTCAAATTAGAATCCGTACGAGAAGTAATGTCCAATCAATGACCAGTTGGAGCCATAAAGATTAATACATGTACTCAAGCATTTTTGTGATTTCAAGGTTTTGCCAAAAAACTAATTCCAATAAACAATTGTAGACTTTGTGAACACTAGTGATCTTTCATTTTTCGCTGATTAAATTATATATTCTTGTAGTATATGAAATTAAAAGTTGTAAATATTTGTACAAAACATAATAAATTGTAAAAATATTTGTTTTCTAAATAAATTAAATGATAATCAGCTGCACATTATATTCTGATTGTATGATGTACATGTATGTGTTAAGTTTCATTTTCATAAAAATTGAAAAATAATTAGAACATGTAAAAGACTACAATGAAATAGGTGCAGATCTAGTGATTTTGTAGTGTGTACATTTTGAATGTTTAGTGTATACAAAGGATGGAATCAATTATGCATATACATATACAACCATGCAGCTACATGCAGGTCATGATCAGTACTTTAATTTTATTTTTCATTTGATCATGCAGTTTGTATAATGTAAATTAAGGGCTATAATTCAAATATAAGGGCAATGGGCCATTTTTGTAAAAATTTGTTGTGTATGTTTTAATTAGTGTATGTAAATTAAGGGCTGTATGAATTCACATACACCAAGGGCAATGGACAGCCAGCAATGAGCATGCTCCAAATCAAATCATGAAACATCAACAAAAACATATTAAAGTCATTCAACATATTTTATCTACAGGTCATTATTAAAATGTAAAAATGCATTGTGTACGTTTAGTGTATGTAAATTAAGGGCTGTATGAATTCAAATACAACAGGGCAATGGGCAGCCAACAAGAGCATGCCCCAAATCAAATATTCAAACAACACATATTCACATTATTCAACATAATTTATAAGCTACACATACAATAATGTAGCTGGGAGTTATGATCAGGTTTTAATGCATTGCATATGCTTAATGTATGTAAATTAAGGGCTGTATGAATTCAAATACAAAAAGGGCAATGGGCAGCCAACAAGGAGCATGCCCCAAATAAATATTCAAAGACATATTCACAAGTTGACAACATTCAACATATTTATAAGCTACACATACAATAATGTAGCTGGGAGTTATGATCAGGTTTTAATGCATTGTGTTTGCTTAATGTATGTACATTAAGGGCTGTATGGATTAAAATACAACAAGGGCAATGGGCAGCCAACAAGAGCATGCCCCAAATCAAATATTCAAACAACATCATAAGCTACACATACAACAATGCAGCTGGGAGTTCATGATCATTTTTTTTTATTATTATTATTATTATTATTTTTTTTTTATAGTTATGATCAGGTTTTAATGCATTGTGTATGCTTAATGTATGTAAATTAAGGGCTGTATGGATTAAAATACAACAAGGGCAATGGGCAGCCAAGACAAGAGCATGCCCCAAATCAAATATTCAAACAACATCAAACAACACATATTCACAATATTCAACATAATTCATAAGCTACACATACAACAATGTAGCTGGGAGTTCATGATCATTTTTTTTTTTTTTTTTTATGTGTGTGTATATGTTTCATGATGCAAGATGTAAGTGTAAAATGCTCTGTGTGAGTAACTGTCTAATAAATTTATAAAAATTGTTAGATGGACAATGGGCTTTATTTTGGAGGATTAATGTATTTAAATTGATTTAGTGAAAAGGCTATTATAAAACTTGTGCAATGTGCAACCTATAGATGTATGCATGTCTAGAACATTCATGAATGGTATTTAAAAAATTAAACATCGTTGCCAACAAAGGAATCAGCTAGATAGATCTATAATAACATGAATTGAAATTGTCCATTTTGTTAAACTGTTTAGGCCGTCTTTACAGTCTAGCACATCAGAGTTGCATTAAAAGTATGATTCAGTGTTTCCTTAGGAACAGGTCACCAGGCAAATTGACCGCTTTGATTGACAAAAATGCTGTTTTGAAACAAAATTTATTGTTAGGTCCACAGAGATTTTGTTCATAAACATCACCTCCTAGCCTGTTACAACTGATCTCTAACCCCTTACTTAGAAATAAAGGTAAAACACTGTATGGTGCCTAAACTCGTAAGACACTACCTATAAATTTAAAGAGAGGTTAAAAGGAGATATAGCAGAAATAAAACTGTTTACACTAAGTTAGGCAAAACCCTACACCAGAAATTATCATAAGACTTCTGCATGTATGATGTGTTCAAGATTTCTACGTGAGGACGACAGTCCTGCTGGAAGCGGGTATAAATTTATCTGGCTAGAATTTTATAAAACCATCCAAAATATTTAAGAGAGAAAAATTTCTAATTGTATTTAGAATGTACTTTATTTTTATCTCGGGCTGTCAGGAGCACGGTTATTTCAACACTGCTGAGAACCATGTCAATTGTTAATTATGGTAATTTAAGTGATCATAATACCAATGTTACCTATTTGTATTTTATAAAATTAACAATAGGTAAGTAACAAGTGAATTTAAACTTCCCATGTCAGACTGCTTCACAAGAAGTCATGACTATATTAAAACAAGATTAACAATAAATAACTTGCTTTCAGTGCATTATTTGTATTTTGTTTCTTGAATTTAACCATTAAAATGAAACCCCTGAATTGTTGTTCATCGACGAGCAAAACAGGAATATGAGCAATTTTAAATTTAACTAAATTAAAAGTTTCAATTCTGATATTGACTTAAAGGAAGAAATATCTTTGTTATTGTTGATCCCGCTTACCTTTTATGAAATCGATTCACAGGTAATAAAATATTTAATCAATTAGTGGACTAAAACTGAAAGTAAACATAAAGTGTTTTTCTTAACTGGAAGTTGAATGTTTAAACTAATCTACAAAACCAAATCCGGAAAAATAATCACTTGTCAGATCACATTCACAGATGGACAGATCGCTCAGCAAATGTTCGGATAATTGCAGGGTATAGAAAAAACGTGTTAAAATATTAGTTATTTAATAAATCTAGTAAGTGCGATCGACCCTGGTGGAATATATATCGATCATAGCCATCCGCATCGACATGTAACGTTAATTTTTAGAGTTACCACCCAGTCCCGATTTTAATACTGAATATTAGGCTTGGCGACGATGCCCCCCCCCCCCCGCCATAAAACTATGTATTTTAAATTTATTTTTATCTAATAAACCCTCTATTTATAACTAAGTCCCCATCTTACAAGCTTTACAAAGTGGCCACGCTTACCACCCCCCCCCCCCCTCTCCCCGGGGAAATCCATTAACATCGGGGAAAATAGGCTAACTATACCTAATCCTATAGTAAAAACTGAAAATATCACTTTTACAAATGCCTTCGCCAAATCAGTTAATAATTTCAATGACTGTTTCAAATTAATAATACACAATAACAAGCTGGAAACTTTTTACCGACCCAAGATGATGCTGGAATATTGAAAAAGGAAGTTGCAACCAAAGCGCCCTCAGTTGTTTTTATTAAAAGGGGAATAATCAACTAAAATATTTGACAAGAACGATAATCACTAGGAATAAGTACTGAGATTTAAGTAAAGCATTTAAATATGCACTTCCTTCGATAAAAGCAGCTAATTCAGAGTGAATTAGCTTTGAATATTATACTGGTATTCGTTTTGAGTTGAGAAATATCCGAAATGAAAAAGTACTTTTTTTAAAACTAGCGATTTACTTAATGTAAGCAATCAGACAGAATGAAAATTATGAAGTCTAATTTTTGAGAGGCAGGGAATACTATTGCATGCAATTGTTCTAATACCAACCTGGCCAAGGTTTGTTGATGCAAACCAATAGCAACTTTCGATTCAAAAACACTTTAAAACAAATGTTTAAACGTGAAAAAGAAATGACATAGATAAAAATAACATATTGTTCGGTCCATTATTTTTCACAGGGTAAAGAGTTAATGATTATTTAATGACCTCAGAGTAATTCATCACTTAGCGACAATATGACTTTGAAATAAAATGTGCAAAGAAAAAATTAAGGCAAACAATTAGACATTTTAGACAAAAATTACTTAAATGTTTGTCTAGGTGGTTTGAGATGAAATGCGGAAAAGAGTATTGATCAGTCTTACACAGGGTAAACAGTTGTCGGTTTGATTATTTGCTTTTTGCAATTTAAGTGGCATTTTATTGACTTTCCTTGCAGAGAATCAGATATCTTTTGTGAAAGAATTACGTCAGAATTGTTTAAAACAGGACCTAATTCACAAAGAGTTAGAAGAGTTAAAACAACAAAAGTCAACATGCATACCGGAAAACGTGAGAGGTATTCATTTTGATATGCATAAATTACAAAATTAAAAGCATAATCCCATTCTTAATTTTTTATCGAATATATAAGTTATTTTATTACATTTTTAATATTGATATACTGTAATTTATCCATTGAATAAAAATGATATCCTGTCACGGTGTAAAAGGATATCAGAAGTGCGGAAAATCTCTCGATTTTCCTTCCCTTTACCAAGGGTGTTGTAAAAAATACTCCTTAATCTGTTATAAGATAGAAATAAGGATATGGAGATAACGAACAGTATCCAATCTCAAAGTCCATGAATAATACAAAATAGGAGCAGGGTAAACGCGGGCCCCCGAAACATCAGAGGTGGGATCAGGTGCCATGGAGAAGTTAACATCCCCTGCCGACTATAGAAAACGAGTTAATGAACCATTCTGTCATAAAATAAAACTGCGAAAGTTCCCCAAATATTTTGCTGAGATTCATGTTTATAATGTTTTTCGCTTACTATGACGTTTCAACCGCTCAACTATGATGTCATGTACCCTAAGACTGCATTACAAGAAAGACGTAGGCATAGGAAAAATCGACGAACATGTAATAAACAGAAAATTCAATGTTTTGTAGTTGAATATGGAATTTATTTCACGAATGGGACAGTTTTTTTTTTATATTTTCACGAGTGCGATGAAAATATTTTAAAAATCCTTTCATATTCAACTACAAAACATTGAATATCCTCTATATTCATGTAATTAGAATAATAAACTTAAAAAAACTGAAAATTGATTATGATAATGTCAAAACAGTTCGACAAGGTGAAGTAAGAGTTGTAAGAAATACGTTATTAAAAAAATAGGATTTTCAAGATTCTAGAGCATGTTTACTGTAATTCATTTTAAATACGCGAGAACTTTTTTTCGTGTAATTACACAAAAGAGAGTTTTTGCTAAAATTGCGTTATCACGTATTCCTTAAGACAATATAGAACAATAAGCACAATTTGTAAACATTTGTTTTCGCTTATTAAGAGTTCTTGACTATCTAGCTAAAATAAAATACTGTGTAATCCCTATCAACCGCCCCGGGCGATTAGAAAATTGCGAAAATGGGGCGGTTATTTTGGTATTCTCTACCTAAAATTTAATGTCATATTTTAATTTTTAAAAAATCTTTTGAAAAAAAAATAAATTCAAAGAGACACTAAAATATGTCTAACTTTGCTTTAAGATAATCTATCCATATTATGCTAAATGATTCATTTTCCACCAAGATATTGGATTATAGAAAGTTTCATTTTCACTTACTTCAAATCTTGGCAGACTTTTGATACAATTCTAGATAATTTTGATCACTGTACAGAGGGTCCTTATTTCCTGACAATTAAAAAAGAATTTGAAAATTACAACTCACAACTCCTTTCGGGCATGGTAAAAACAACACATATATACTTGAAAGATTATTCATAACCAAAGATGCTCCTATCCTAAGCTTGAACTCTAAATTGATTTTTACAAAGACTTTGCAGTCATTGTATTCAATACGGCATAGTTCCATTTTCAGAATAATAGAAATATATATCCCATTTTCCCCCTTAGGGGAATCAGGGTCCAGGATCATGAACATTTCTTTTTTACATTTTTCTGTCATGTAAATTAGTTGAATCTGATTGGTCGAGAAACATTTAAAAAAAAAACTATTACCCGCTGAATAATGAAGCCACGCCCTCCAGCGTATCAACAGTCAAGAGTGCTTGACGACTGGTGATATACCATTTCCAAAAAATAGCGACTGCGAAGAATTCATGCACGCACAGTTCACTGCTACATGTACATGTATTTGTATAAAACATTCTGTATAATATAATAAATATTGCATGTAGTTGAGTGTAACAGCGCCTCGGTGGACAATGGTTTCCTTTGGGTGAAAATATTCAATGTTACACTCGACTACATGCAATATTTATATTCATGCTATATATTCCACTAAAACGATGTAAAGTTAAACAGTCAAACATTGTTTTACCTTGCTGCTTTATCTGCAAATTTACAATTTAAGATCACAGGTTAATGATATCTTAACTATGATTTAAATTTTAACTTAAATGTGTTTTAAGAGCAGAGGATCAGACAACAGCATCAATTTTATCTGTCTTACAGTAATTCATTGTGCCCTCAATTTGTATACTAGATTTATTATTTGAAAAAAAAAAATTGCGCCCTTTAAAAAGACTGAACCAGAGCTTTTATTTATCATCAAAATATGTTTATATTGTCATAATATATGTATTACGAGTCGTGTTTAAAGAAACCTTAATTTAAAAGTTTATACCGATATCTAAATGTATGTTTCAAAAATGTAAATAAAGGTTACCGGGGTAGTATTTATATTTTAAAAACTTCATTGCATCCAAAATTGAAACTCGGTGACATATACAAGATGCAAAAAGAGATATAAGCATTAAATAAAAGCTTCGATTACATGATTCAGTTACATAAGTCATAACTGAAATAAGTCAGCTAATATGGAACAAAGATTGTAAATATTGTCTATATTTGTTAAAATTTCCTCGTGATCAGCACTCAATAAAATACTTTAATTTAGGCTTCGTTTAAAATAACGCATTTGGCAAATACATGACTGCAATTTTTTTCCAGACAACTAAAAACAGATATCAATGAACGTGATATTTTATTGCGACATACTTTCTTAATTTTTCAGATCAACATAAAAGAACATTGCATTCATGGAAAGCAGGTGTGTATTTTGAAACCTCTTGTTTTAAGAACATAAAAGACTTTTTTATTTCACATCAAATTATTGCTGTGGTTGGATCTCCTGGGTCTGGAAAAACTGCTTTGATCCGCCACATCGCTTTACAGCTAGAGTCAAAATATCAGATTGTTCCTACGGTGATCTAAACAAACTACAAATATTTGTCATTGATGATGTTCTCGGCGTGTTTAATTTAGATAGACACTTGCAATCAGATTTAGAAAAACAGAGGCAACAAATTGAAAATGTGCTTAATACGAGATCAAAATTATTCATGTCCTGCAGAATGGCTGTGTACAACGAGGCAAAGAAATTAGAAGTTGATTTTTTTTGAAATTGAAAATATCATCAATTTAGACAGTGAAGAAAACATCCTTACACAGGAAGATAGAAAAGGTATTTTTGAATCTCATATAAAAAATGCAGGGATTCCGGATGTTTTTGATCCACATTATTTGCAAGGAACAGGTGTATTTATGTTTCCACTTCTTTGCCAAATTTTCAGCAGTGATCAGAGCATAAGGGAATATGAAACAGACTTTTTTGCATATCCATCCAAGTGCTTACTTTCAGAAATAGATAAAATTCAAAAAAGAAATAGTTTACAATATTGTTCCATGGTTCTCTGCATGCTGAACAACAACTGTCTATCAGAACAAATTTTATCTGAAACAAGGGAGCTAAAAGATATTTTCAGGTCTTGCAAAGTAAAAGGAAAGCCTCAGACCTGGGAAATAATAGAGTAACTGTCGTACTTAAAAGGTACTTATGTTTCAGAAAATGATGAAAAATATACATTAACTCATGTTTCTGTTTTTGAAGTACTTGCCTATCAGTATGGACAGCAGTTTCCTGACCACATTTTGGAGCATATGAACAGTAACTTCATTGCAAACAGAGTTGTTTTAGAACATACAACAACCGGAAACGACCTCTGTATAAGGCTGAACAAGTCCCAGTATGAAAATCTTGCAAAAAGGTTGTATGCAGATGTAAAGAACGGGAAGCTTCATGATGTGTTTTTAAATAGATCACTTGGAGATCCTGACTTTAAGCAAAATCTTAAGTGCTTTTTAACAGACGTACCATACAAAGATGTAAAAGATATTTTCTTATCCTTCAGGGAAGAAGATTTCGAGAGTGTTATTCTTGATTCACAGAAAGAATGTGAAAAAGAAGATGAAGGGTTGAAAGGTCAAAAAGAGTCTCAAAGACAAGATATACTTCTTGGTTTCAAATGTATTGGCCAAAGAAAAATTTATGAAATTCGCGCCATTAATTTTATAGTTTATTACGGTCACATTGATTTCCTAAATTACTTTATGAATTTAGTGGTAAATAATAATGAGCACAAAGACATTGTCTTCGGATCAACACAAGAATAGCAAGTAAAATTACTTGTTTTAGCGTGTTTAAATGGAAACTTAGATATGGTGAAAATCCTGGTAGAAAATATTGGAAAGAAAAACATTAACCAAATCCCGTTGGAAAACTCCACCTATCGCACAATAAACACAGATACATAACGCCAGTTATTGCTGCGTGCTTGAGAATGAAACATGACGTCGTAAAATATTTAGTTGATAATGGAGCCGATTTAAATCCATCCAAAAGTTTTTATCCTGCTTTGTCGACACCAGCTAGAACTGGTGACCTAAAAACAGTAGAAGAATTTCTTGAATATGGCGCTGACTGTAACAAATGTAATAGAAGAGGAATTTCTCCTCTGCACGTTGCGTCACAATTTGGTCATGTGAAAATAGTAAAAAAAAACTTATTGAGAAGGGTGCTGACATCAACAGATGTGATAATCATGGCCGGTCACCTCTGCATTTAGCCCAATTAATGGTCATTTGCTTGTTGTAGAAACATTGATTAAACACGGGGCTGAATGCAATCGATTTGATGAGAATAATTTAACGCCTCTACAGGTTGCCTCATCAAAAGGTCATGTCCGTGTTGTAAACAAATTGATAAAGCATGGTGCTGACATTACTAAAAGTATCTTAGCCAGTCAGTCCGCATTGCATCTAGCATCACTAAATGGTCATTTGACCGTTGTAGAAAAGTTGATTCTGCACGGCGCTAAATGTGATCGATGTGATGACACTAGATTAACACCCCTACATTTTGCGTCATTTGAGGGATTTACTTCCGTCGTTGAAAAATTAATTAAACACGGTGCCGAAATCAATAAGTGTTACATTGATGGTCAGTCACCCGTTCTTCTAGCGTCATGGAGAGGACAGCTTACTGTTGTAGAAAAACTTATTGAATACGGAGCTGATATCAACAAATGTGATATTAATGGTTGGTCACCTATAATTTTAGCGTCAGGAGAAGGTCACCTGACTGTTGTAGAAAAACTTATTGAACACGGAGCTGACATCCATAAATGTGATATGAATGGTTGGTCACCTATCCTTTTAGCGTCAAGAGAAGGTCACCTGACTGTTGTAGTAAAACTTATCAAATACGATGCTGACATCAAAAGTTGTATTAAGGGTTGGTCATCATTAATTTTAGCGTCATGGAAAGGACATCTTCATGTCGTACAAAAACTTATTGAACACGGTGCTAACATAAACAAGTGTATTCATAATGGTCAGTCATCTTTGCATTTAGCGTCACAGAATGGTTATTTGCACGTGGTGGACACATTAATTCGTCATGGGGCTAAAATTGATATATGTGATAAAAATAGATTAACACCTCTGCATAGAGCTTCTTTCGAGGGTCATGCATCTGTTGTAGAAAAGTTAATTAAACAGGTGCTGACATAAACAAGTGTGATGCTCATTCCCAGTCATCTATATATCTAGCCTCCATGGAAGGTCATCTTCCTGTTGTTATAAAACTAATTGAATGTGGTGCTGACATCAACAAGTGTGAAAATAATGGATGGTCACCTCTGTGTGTATCGTCATCGAAAGGTCATCTTTCTATTGTCGAGACACTTATTAATCACGGTGCAGATATCAACAGCAGATTTAATGATGGTTGGTCGGCATTAAGTCTAGCGACATTGTATGGTCATGATCATGTTGAACAAACACAAATGGAACACGGTGCCAGCATCAGCCAGCGTGATGATAATGGTTGATCATCTCTGCAATTAGCATTACAAAATGCAAATTACAAAATGATCACTTTCCTGTTTCAGAAACGGTCTGAATTAATTTCAAGAATATTAAACATGGTATCGTTCTTTTAATTCTGAACATTAAAAACAGGTTAAAAGAGACAAGTGAGTGGGGGAAAATGCTTCACAATAATTGCAAAATCATCTCTTACTTTCAAAAAATGCTAGTTTTAATTCAAAAATGACAAATACTGCTATGATAATGTTATAAAAAAGCTTTGTCTGACATTCTGCAATACTATTGAAATTATGAAAGAGCACTGGGATACTTGAGCAATTGTTATACTACATGTTTATATCTTGAAACATTGACCAGGATATTTTAAGTGTGTTAATACAAAGATGGCGCTTCCCTTAGTTTGTATCACAGAGGCTATCATATCATTATCATCTGAATACAAAGATTATGAATACATAATGTATCTTACGCATTGTAGCAATGGTTGCACATCTACTGAAATCACGATACTCTTGATACTTTAATACTCATAGCTGTTGAAAAATATGCATAAAAAATACAAGAACCTTTCCCATTTGCACCGAATTGAATTAATCACAAACAAGTATAATAATATTCATTTTTGTTTTGTTTTAAAATTGGATAATTTTTTTTTCATAAATCAGCAATTTACATATCCATCTGCGTTTGAATGATGTGTATTTAGTTTTCCAATTTTGTATTTATTTTAATTATTTTATGCCTAATGTCTGTTTAATTCTTGCATCTAAATATAAATTGAAACACTTCATGTATTAGATTTTTACATTTCCATTGTCTGTATATTTGTGTCATCACTAAAATAAATTATGACTTTTGCGTTATTTTATTACATAGAAATAGAGTATATATCTTTAAAAGATGTTTCGCTCTTCAAACTATTACGTAGTTGTTCAGAGAGCTAGGTACGTTACCTAATACTGTATACAGGGTTATTTTCGCCCCGTGTAATTTTCGCCCTTTTGAACTTGTGAGCAATTTCGCCCCAATTTTAAATTCGCCCAGTCATAGTTCTGTTTAAGAAATTATAAGGTGTAATTTGAATTCGCCCCGTTTTAAATTCGCCCAATCAAAAAGAGGGCGAAAGAGGCGAAAATAAAACCGGGGCGAAAATTTCCCGGTATACAGTACCAATAAGCCCTGTGCAATATACACGCGGGTTGTTCGATATGTAATGTGTTTTACATATCTTAAAAGCATTAAACTCAAAAAGTAAAATGACTATGAATGATATAGTAATAACGAACGGTATTCAATATCAAAGTCCATAAAACAAAACAAGAAAGGAGCAGAGCAAATACGGAGTAGTTCGAAATCGTTTTGGTTCTTCGGGATATCAAAAATATTCAAAACTGGCATATACTTTAATTTAAAGAATTTCTTCCTTAGAAAGGGAACTATGAGTTTAATTTGAATTATCACTTGTAGAATTAGTTCCAAGTTCTTCTACAATACAATTTATATAATAAGCCTTACAAAAGAACGCCAGTGCGTACTGATCATGTAATCTATCTAATTCTTTTTTTTTTACTTCTGGGTTATCTAATACAGAATGATAGATGTTTTCATATTGCCCCTTAATCCTTTAAGAGTCATTCTCTGTAAGCATCAAAATGGGCTGGAAATTGATTTTCACAGATTTTGATGAAACTTGGTGAAATAACTACATTATAAGCCCGATTTACAAAAATATTATTCAAAGTGACCAATTGGTCTTGTTTCCATGGCAACCAGGTTACCTGTTTTTTGCGCGAGGGTGGAAAATACCTAAAATGATATTTCTTCTCATTAATGTACATTTAATTAATAAAGGTGATTATTATTATTTTTTCCATTGATATAATTTGTTATTTGTATTTTCTAAACAAAAAAGTCGAAAAAAAATTTTTGGACCTGCCGTTAAATGCCAAATAACATAGAAAATTGCTTTAAAAAAGGGGGGTTGAACAGAACAATGTACACAAAAAACGCAGGCACTGGTGGAATATTCTGATGCTCTGAATTTCACCTTATACATTTATGAAGAAGATATGAAAAAACTGGAGAGGTATTATTTATTTTAAGAAAATAAATTGATGGTAAAGTTTGTAAAAATCTCTAAATTTACACACATTTTTTGTCAAGAGATATTTCCCCTTTCGGAAATCTTTTGCTTCAATCAATGAAAATGAAAGTGAAAGTACACAGCAGAAAACGACTTTGAGGAGTAAATACTGTCTGTTTTGGATATTTTCAGGGGTTTTAATCCAATTTGTGAAATATTTAACATTACCAATAGTTAAACTGTTAAATGATTGTTCAGGCTTTACTGTGTCTGAGAGATATACATGTTTGTGTATAAGATTTGAATGTGATAAACTTAAAAAATGGATTGCATCCTATGAAATTCCTGCCTATGTGACAAGTGCCGCATCATTGAAAAAAAGTGTTTAAAAAAAGTAACGTCAGTTAAATGGACTTCAAAGCTAAGGATGGGATAATAAGGTTGTGATGAAGTAATATACATGGCTGTACGAAAGCCCAGAAGGCTCATTCGAGATTCAAGTTTCGAAATACGAGATTCAAAATTCGAGATTCGAAATTCGAGTTTCGGGATTCAAGATCCAGATTAACCAATCAAAAGGCTCATTCGAGATTCGAGGTTCGAAATACGAGATTCGAAATTCGAGTTTCGAGATCCAAAATCCACATTAACCAATCAAATGCGGGTTCAACATTGCTTACGCCCCTTTATTATGTTTTATCTATCAATAAATCGTTTAATAACTGATGAGTCATTTGATTAAATTACAATGCAAAAAAGAGTGATATATATTAGAAGGAAAGTTAAGTAATCATGGGATTTTTGATCAGCAAGATATACTTCAATTTATATTATGACTTCTTAAATATTAAATAGAATACATATATCAGGAATATATATATTTTTGCATTGTCTACTTTACATAAAGGGTTGTTGACATAATAATAGTTATAAATAATGACTAAAGATTAACATAATCCCCACCCCTACCCGCCACACCTGCCAATTTTTCCTGACACTGAAAATGTTACTTTAAAAACCTGAAGGGCAATGTAGCCTTGATAAATAAAAACCGAGTATATTTTAATCTTTGACCAGAACGCCATGGTCAGAGACTTAAATATAAAACCATAACGCTATAGTTTTGCACCTAATTTAGACTAATTTACTGTTTGATATCAGATAATCTAAAATGAATGCTGCATTTATCCTAATTCATAATTTGCAATCTGTATTGAATATTTAATTCTTAATTAATTCAAGAAATCAAAGCCTTAGATGAATATAAGTAATTGAAAACTTTATTTTTATGTACTGAGTATTGCCTCTATTAGGAAAACGAACACGGTTTTTATTTATCAAGGCTACATTGCCTTTCAAGTTTTTAAATCACTTTCTCAGGGTCGGGAAAAATTGGCAGGTGTGGAGGGTAGGGGTGGGGATTTTGTTAATCTTTAGTCACTATTTATAACTTTATTATTACATACATGTATGTCAACAACCCTTTATATAAAATAGACAATCCAAAAATGTATATATTCCTGATATATGTATTCTATTTAATATTTAAGAAGTCATAATATAAATTGAAGTATATCTTGGTGATAAAAAATCCAATGATTATTTAACTTTCCTTCTAATATATATAACACTCTTTCTTGCATTGTAATTTAATCAAATGACTCATTTGTTTTAAATATATTGAACGATTTATTGATAGATAAAACATAATAAAGGGGCGTAATCAATATTGAACCCGCATTTGATTGGTTAATGTGGATTTTAAATCTCGAAACTCGAATTTCGAATCTCGTATTTCGAACCTCGAATCTCGATTGAGCCTTTTGATTGGTTAATCTGGATCTTGAATCCCGAAACTCGAATTTCGAATCTCGAATTTTGAATCTCGTATTTCGAAACTTGAATCTCGAATGAGCCTTCTGGGCTTTCGTATGGCTGGCAATAAGAAGATCACTAGGCAAGTACCAATGAAATATTTACCATGTACATTGAAAGTCGCACATATTTTGTATGAGTTTATATAAACCTTCTGTTGATAAAAATTATACCTTATAATCCCTATTACCGTGGTAACTGTCCCGGGCACCTAGGAAATTGCGAAGAGGGGGCGGTTATTTTGGAATTCTCTTTATAATATTTAATGTCAATTTTTAACTTCAAAAATTTTAAAGAACCACGAAAATAATGTCTAACTTTACTTTAAGTGAAGATAATCTACCCAAAGTATGCTACATGATTCATTTTCCACCGAGATATTGGATAATAGACAAGTTACATTTTCACTTTCTTCAAATTTTGGTATACTTTTGATATGATTCTAGATGATTTTAATCACTGTTCAGGGGGCCCTTATTTTCTGATAATTGAAAAAAGACCTAGGGGGCGCTTATAGGGGCAGGGGCAGTTATACGGTATATGTTAACCAAATTAAACTTAAGCAATTCTGTATATGACAAAAGCTAAATACATGTACCTCATAACAGCTGTTTAATTGTGTGCTTGAAAAAAAGAAGGGGGGGGGGTGTAAAAAGTTATTGCCATGCAAGGTATTTCATCAGGTTTTAAAAGAATTAATTTCATTTATTTATCATTTTAAATAATTTTTTTTTTATTTCACATGTTGAATTTTTAAACTACATCACTAAACTGAACACGTAGCAAAACTGTAATTTTCTTTTAGATTTCAATTTATGCAGGGCTGAAATTTGTTGATGCAAATTTTTTTTGAATGGAGATTGATAATCGTGGGTGAATGTGCCCTTTCATTTGGAACTTGAAGTTATTGCAAAAAATTGAAAGACCTTTGAAATGTATCTCTTTAATGTCAGATTACCGTATTTTATTGCAACAAAGAAAAATAAATTATTTAATTATTAAGATTTTTTGTCATAGCAAATGCTGTCACAGTTCAATTTAAGC